GTTTATAAACGTCGTCAGTGAAGGAAGGAATGGAGGCGGAGGAATGTCGTACACGTAAGGCGTCTGAGATGCCTTCAATGGGCCCGACTGGATGGTACAGCTCCCCCCCCCGCCCTCCCCCCGCTCTCTTCTTCAGTTATGTTGCAGGCGCTGTAAGATGCCATGTTTTTTTTTGACACACCGCTCATGAAAGGATGAGATGGGGGGGAGAGTAAGGGGAGGGGGGTAAGAGCAGGATGCAAGAGATGGAAACTGTTTTTTTCCTACTCTCAAAACCGATGTTGGGTTGGGGGCCGGAGGGGCGGGGGGGTCAAGGCCATTTCCTCGGAGGGACGCGTCCCCCAATCGTCTGCTAACTGTTCGGGCCCCACAAAAGCAAGGTTGCGTTTGTGCGTCTCCCTCGTCTGGCGGCGGTATGCGCCGTGCCCCCGTGCGTCTTTCATTTCCCGTAAACACGGATATCTACTGAGGAGCAGCTCCGCGTCCCTCCCACAACTTCATTTAACCGCCGTCCGTCCGGGCAGTAACGTTGGAACAAAATGAACGTCGCAATATCTGTCGTCATGTGAAAAATGTACCATCGTAGTTTTACAGAAGGGTAGTTCCAAGCACATCACTACTCGGAATACACAAAGTACACGAGAACCAAGTACCGAGGACAGAAGGGCTTGAAGTAGCAACTTCATCATTATGGAACATGGTCGGTCTCCCGGGTCTCTCAGCCTAATTCAGTCCTATAGGAGCCGGGGCCCCTTTAAACTACTAAAGGCTCACAAGCTCTGATGAGAAAAGGCGGCGGCCCTCTAAATCACAGGCCGAGAGCCGGAGCTCCCTCCCGGAGGATCCTGGGATTAGAGAGACGCCGTCATTACGGCCAAACAGAAAGCAAAAAGGGATCCGATCCCCAGTCAGGGGGCTCGTGACCATTGCGACTGCTTGGCACCAAGACACTCGCGTGCCCGGTGCCGGCAGCTCCCTCGGGTCAGGTGGCGGTTTGAAGACGCAATCACATGCAAACTTCAGCCCCTCGACATCTTCTTCAACTCGGGCCGATGGCTGAGCCGGATTCATCCGCCGCCATTTCATTGGATTTCCACATTAAAGAGCCCTCGTGACACGGAGCACTGCTCGGGCTAAAGGATTAGCAGGGCTTCGCCGCCGCCAGACATTTTCCACGCCCCTATGAGCGTAGGGAACCGGAAGAGATGGGAAGCGGCGCTTGCGGCGGAGATTCTCCCCCCGCTGCCACTCATTGTTCCAGAGAAAAAGGAGCATTCATCGCTAGCCGATGAGTTCGGTGTGGAAGCCGAGATGTTTGTTAAGCCGGCGGCAGCTTAACGACGCGTGGCAAGTTCGACGCCTTTTAAACCCCCGGCTAAGTTTTCAACTGGGCCCTCACGATTACGGGGAAGTGATGTCACCAGGATTTTATTAACTCAGCAGAGACAACCGCACGAGTTCTGCAGCAGATCTGCAGGAAAGCTGCATGTGGCTTTAATGGATGAAGTGGTCGTGGTGGGATAAGGGGTCCAGTGGGATCAGGAGTTCCTGAAAATCCCACTTTACTCCCTTAACTGCTAAAGGTGACCAAAGACACTTGACCGCAGGGGACCATCTCAGATAAAAAAAGGGCCTTTATAAGAGCATGTCATAAACCACAGAGCCATTATGATTCCTCCTTTACAGTGCTGAGTCAAAGGGAATTCCCAGAACCTCACAATGGGAATCGGCGATGCGCTGGCACAATGCGGCAGTTCACAAGGAGGTTCTGCATATGCTGATGGGAGTGCCTTTAGATTTAAAGGTCATAAACCAACCAAGTATTGGATGACTTCCAAATTTCCACACACTTTTGCCAATGCATTTTCCCCAAAGAATACGGCTGCCAACCTCACGGTGGCAAAGTCAGCGGGACACCAAAAGCGGAGCAAATGGTGTGGGAATCCTTCATGTTTGTTCCAATGGGTCAAGCAGATGTTGAGATATTTGGCAAGAATAGAAGCGAAGAAGATGACCCGCTGGGGACGCCAGAGAAAAACAAACAAAAACAAAACAAAAAACTAATATTTCAGTCATTCGGATTCATCCTCTGGGATAATAAATGTCCAAAACCATAATGGAAATCAATCCAAAAGAAGGAACACGAATCACAGCCTGTTGAAAGTCTCGGGGGAAAGGATTGTTAGACACACTTAAGAGTCTCCTTTGACGGTTGGACACGTTTCCTTTGTCACCCACTTTTTTCCCCAACATCTTTATTTTAATTCGTTCGTTTTTTAGTTTAAAAAAAATAAATACATGAGGCATAACCCGAAGCCCCATGGGGAAAATACTCCAGCTCCGCACCATTTCCTCCAATTACCCAATGTGTCTCTCCCCGACATTTCTCCTTGACTTTCCTGTACTGGTTCCCATTTTGAGAGCCGTCTGGCCTCAGTGGAAATGACAAGCCAGGTCGGTTTCCTCTCTCCTAAAACGCCATGTGCAACTCAGGGCCACATGCCGACAACCTGAGTCTGAATGGGTTTTTTTTTAAACTTCTTCGGTTCAAAAACAATAACATAATTCCTCAACTGCAGCCACAGAAATGACCGTAGGTTTAAATCAACGGCCTCCGATTCGTTACAAACGTCATCGTTTAACTGCAGAGCGGCGAGCATTGCCTTGCTGGAGTATATAGAATATATAGAATAAACTCTGTATGAAGAAGTGAAGCCGGTGTGGAGGATAAACACGCTCTCCTGAGGTGTGATGAATTCATATTCCCACCACACGCAGCTGCTGGTCCGAGGCCGGATCAAACGGCATCGGACGTGGCTTTAATGTTTTTCGCATCGGTGCGGCTGCACTCGACGTCGACCCGCCGCGCCGGGCCGGGCCGGGCCTGACCCGGCTGCGTGCGCGCGTGTCGATGCACGCGGACGAGAAACAGAACTTTGTTGTGCCGGGTCGTTGTTGTCCGTCGTGTCGAATATCCTTTCTCCTTCTCCGCGTCCTCCCCTCTCCCCCGCCTGAATGCAGACATGAAAAGCCACGGCTATTACAGCCAAGACATGCTCGGTTTTATATTTAACAGTGCGGGTAAAGGCCGATGGTCGGGGAAGGGGGGGGGCAGGGACTTCAAAGCACGTTTTCAGAATGGGATTTTCAGCTTAAATCTGCAGAAGAAAAAAAACAAAAAAAAACTCATCACTGAGAGCCGGCATTATTTTTGTCTCCCAAGACAAGCGCTCGCCTTGGCCGTGTCAACAACGCAAACTATGATGAAAGGTGTACGTGAACGGCTGTAACGGGGGGGGGGGGGGGGCGTAAAGCAGCCAAGCGAGCTCTGGCCTCTATGTGCGATCACTTGCAACACTTGCTTCCACACAATCGCTAAGTAGCACGACTTCCGGAACAAACTGCGAAACGTTCCGATCCAGAATTCCATCACAGACGGAAGCTATCAGGTATGCCGGGGGGGGGGGGGCGCTCACAGTGCTGTACGCCTCCTCGCTGTGTGCAGGCTGTGGGCCCTGATCAGCCACCAGGGGTCCGTTCCCCCCAAAACTCGGCTTGGAAATCTACAGAGAAAAAGAGGGAGGAGGAGGGAGGGGGGGGGGGGGGGGGGGGGGGGTCGGGAGGGGAGTGTTAGGCGGTGAGGTGACTGGAGAGTTCAAAGACAACGCAAAGGGAGGGAGACTTACCAGAGAGAAGGGGATGGGGTTCCCTCGCAAATACCTGGGGCTTTCAATCTGAAAGAGTAAATAGAAGGACTTTAGACCCCCCCCCCCCCCTCAGACACAATGTGGGGGCCACATCGAACCACAGCCGCGGTGCCTGCCGTCTGTTTTGGAAAGACAGAATGGGTCGGGCTACTTCGAGGTATTGTGTGTGTGTGTGTGTGTGTGTGTGTGTGGTCGCCTCCGCCGTACTGACGGGGCCCTTTCGTCAACACCCGAGACCACAAATCTGTAAGCTATCCCAAACCTGCTAAGCTGGAACACAAAGGGGGGGGGGGGGGGGGTCACGCTCCAAATGGCTGCGCGGCATTCACATCACCGCGCCCCGGCGAATGGGAACAAACTTACGCAGCGTCTCGGGCTGACTACTTGCACTTTCATAAGGATAGTTGACATCTGCAGGGGGCCCGTTATATTCACACCGCCGCGCGGGTTTCCCCGTCCCCTCGAAGGGCCAACTAGCGCGTGTAGATTGCGGCCTTTTGAAAAAAGCGCGCGGAAAACAGCTCTGCGGCAAGTCTCTTTTAGCGCTGGGACGAAGGAGGAGAAGAAGGAGGAGGACGCGCAGGAGGCGGAGGAGGAGAAGAAGGAGGACGAGGGCTGCGGCTAAATGAAAAGGAGTTAATGTTGTGAGGTGGCGCAGCCCACACACACACACACACACACACACACACAGAGCCGATCAAGAAGGAACAGAACCTGAAACGACCTCCGAGCACGGCAACAAAATGGTTACAGATACTGTACGAGGATGAAGTCGCGACCTGTTGCTTCGGGGTGAGCGGTGACAAGCGGGGGAAACAGGCGACGGCAGCTCTGCCGCGAGACTTACTGTAGGTAGATGTGATGCGGGTAAAAATAGCTCAGGCATTTTGTACTACAAGCTCTCAACAAAAGGAGACATCCGGCTCGACTTCAATCCGATTTACTGCGATCTGACAAACGACGTGAACATTGCAGATAGTAACAAACACACACACACACACACACACACACGACCACTTGAGGTAGTCTCCATCAACGGTGTGTGCCGCATTGTGTGGGCAATGGAGTAGTTGATTATGGTCCTGGGAAACCAAAAAAAGAAGAAAAAAAAAAGAAACCACTATGTTTACCAAGCGATGAATAAATCAATATCACTCGAAACTAGTGGAAAACAACAAGCAGTAAAGCAACAATGGATGTTCTCTCTCTTCATACCACAGACAGCACCGTCATTAGACGTGATTGAGCACGGCCCACAGGGCGAGGGAGACACCGGGGCTAAATACAGTGGTGGGATGCTGGCACAGCAGTGCGATGCGGGGGGCAGTGAGGGGGGTCGGGGGGGCCCACATAGCAGCCGGGCCCCTCTGTCTGCTTCTCAAGCAATTTGCCGTCTGCTGTCCAGCCACCTTGCTACACACACACACTTTTTATTCCATTAGGGGGGGATGAAGAAGCCGATACGGAGCTCTTCAGAAGGTCTAAAGCTAAAAGATGCTCTCGATAGATCGGCGCTCGGCCGCGCTCAAGCGTTCGCTTGGAGCCGTGGCTCTTTGAAGCCGCGCATCTGTAAGAACTTCTGTAAACTTGAAGGGGGGGGGGGGGGTGGGACAGAACATCTGTTGATTTGAAAGATGCAGGCTTGCGTTGCCAGGCCGGGCCTCTTATCAGCGCCTCAGCACGGACGAGCGCAGAGGCGGGCGCTCTCACGCGTCTGCCGATAAGATACCTCGGATTACCCGAGAAGTCAAAGGGAGCGAGAGCAACACGGGGAGAGTAGGAGAGACAAACAGAAAGGGGGGGGGGGGTCAGGCTAAGGAAAACATGTGACAGCATCGTGGGGGAAAGGACAGATGCAATAAGCAGAAGAAGAAGAAGAAGAAGAAAAAAAAAAAAGAGCGACTCAAGGTCATGCCGCTGAGGAGATAGGAAAGGAATAAGGGCATATGGGAGAGATGAGGGCAGAGTGCTTATCGAGCCACGTCCCGGTGCACTCCAGCCTGAGCAGATAAGAGCGGCGCACTCATCTTCAAATACCCCGGTCCGTGCGACCCTTCTCCCACCCTACAACAGCGACTAACTGCGTAAAGGAAGTGGTTTCAAGAGGCTTTTACCCCCCCCCCCCCCCCCCCCTTTGTTTAAAAGGAGCATCGTCGCCCTATTGATTCGGCGGAAAATTGACCCGCTTTAAGTGGCCATGAGCGGCAGCATGATGACAGCTGCAGGTAACCGAGGCGCTCGAGGCGTGTGCCCCCCCCCCCACCCCGGACTCACCCCCAAGTTCCAGCTGTTGAGACGAGCCTCCAGGTCCCTGTCATCGGGAGACGCATCTGCATTCAGCTCCGCTTCCACCTGAAAAAAACGAAACAAAAACAACAAACAATAAAAGCGCAAGTGTATAAACAGAGGAAAGGAAATGAAGTTGTAAATCAGAGGCGGGAAACTAATGATTTCTCTGATTGGCCCTAGGTAGCAAACAGAAGACCACAATGGAGGTTATCTTTTTGACAGAACTCTGTTTTGATTCTCCTTGGCAACAACAAATCTTTTTTTTTCTTTTTCTAAAAGCTTACAGATCTACAGTTCAGCCACATGCGTTCTCCTCCCGCACTAACAGCCTTCTGCTCCCTCTTCATCTCCACATCTCCTCCGCCCTTTGCTCCCCAGTTACCATCCAGATGTTTGGCGGTTCTAGGCCTGTCGCGATATGCGATAAATTGACTCATCGAAAAATCGAGTGCAATCATTTTCGGTGCTGCGATATTTATTTTACATATGAACTCCACCAACATTTAAGTTAATCGCGCCTCTGCCTGCAGCCACGGAGGGTTTTATTTACTTATTGACGTTCTTTGTACTTGTATTACGCAATAAATAAAAATCGCAATAAATGTTATATCGTGACAGCCATAGGTGGTTCCACATCATTTCCGTTATGCAGTGGGTTCCGCAAGAGGGGCGTGTGCGGCTTAACCGCCCGCAGCCTTGTCCCCCCCCCCCACCTCCCCCTCCCCCCCTTTGTTACAGCGTGCCTCCGGATTTGTTTCATACAGTTACAACTCCAATGCTTCCAGGGGCTCTGTTGATCCAAGATCACTTTACTCAAGTCGGAGCCGGGCGGCAGGGTTGAAATGGGGAGGGGAGGAGGGGGGGGGGGGGGGATTTAATAAGGTTTTAAGGGAGCGATAAGTAAAAGAGAGCTTGTTTGGTTTTAATAGGA